AGCTTGATGGCCTCGTTAAGGCCCAACATCAACTCAATTGGCTTGATGGCCTCGTCAAGGCCCAACATATCCCAGATCGAACCCTAGCATAGTGCATGTGAGGTTTAACTCAATGGTGACCAAAATGCTTAAGCGGGAGTTAACATAGTATACTCATCAGGCCCATATAAGTCAATCATACACATTGCCCACTTCTGATGTGGGACTAATGAGATGTTACAGTATATTGGCATGTTGACTTGAATTATCCATATAAGGAGCATTGCACATAAGAGACATACAAGGGCATCAGAGGCATGTCGATTTGAACTACCCATGTAGCAAAAGTGTCGAGAATATAGGAGATGTTGCAATGATGTTGAGGCATATCAACATGAACTATCTATGCATAAAAGGCCAGATGTAACAAACGTGCGAGGGCATTGAGGCATGTCAACTTAAACTACTAATTTAGATGTAACGATTATAATAGACACAAATGTATAGGAGACGCACAAAGGCATCAAAACATGTTAACTTGAACTGCCTATGCATAATGTAGGAATTATACAAGGGCATCAACGCATACAAGTTAAACCGATCTTATAGGGATTGTTAGGCATACAAGATCCATGAAAACATCAAGAGGTGCAAGCTTAAACTAGTCGTCTAGCGATTGTTGGAAGCAAGAAACACATGAAGGCATTGAGACATGCCCCTTAGAGCGACTCGTGTAGGTATTGTCAAACGTGCATGTGAAAGCATCTAGGTATGCTAACTTGAACTATTTGTATTGTGAAAATCAAATACAAAAGATGTACTAAAATCGTTAGAATATCCTGACTTGAATCTCGCATGTTAGGAGCATGGGGTGTTGAAGATGTGTGATGGCACTAAAGAGTGTCAATTTGAACTACCCATACAAAAAACATTTGATATGAGAAATTAAAAATGTATTAAGAAATATAAACTTCAACTAATTTGCATGAAAACTCAAACGTAAGAGGAGTCTAAGAGACATATTAGAGTATCCAAAATATACTATTAGGAGCATTCACCACTTAAGGTGTCAAGACATACAAACTTGAATTGTAAAGCATTAAAAGATAATGTGCCAAGCTTTGCTTAAAAATACTATAAAAGATCGCAAAGAGTTATGGTGATACCTCATAAAAGCAAATCAAAAATGAAAAATAAATGCATTGTTATGTCAAACACAATCTATGAATGCTCTTTTGGGAACGATATTGAAACAAGTTCCAAGGTCCATGGATTACATATACCTCCAAAGTGGAAAAGCATAATCTTGCACCATTTATATCAGTGTTTTTCGCCATTCAATATAAGGAAAAAAATACAATTGAATGGTCGGCTGCCAATCCGCTGAAAGTGGTTCTTCAATAATCAATACGATATGCAAGTACTAATAAGTGGTTAATATAAGCTTCTACATTTGCTGAATGAATATAGTATGCAGTTATAGTGTGTCCAATTGGTCATCAAACTTCACATTTGCAGCAAAAAGCGCGATAAGCAGTGGATGCTTCTGTAGGCAATCCATGAAATCATCTCTGCTGACAATCCCATCACCATCAGCATCAAACAGCTGACAAAGCTGCAGGAGGAATGATTACAGTGAGCGCTGGTATTAGGAGGTGACGATAACAGAAACAATGTAATTCTAAGGTGTAATAGGACTAGGGTAAAACCACAACGTACAGTTTCACTGATTGCGCCGTGCACTATCGACTGGTTGGGATGACCCATCTACATCAGTGGTACAACCAAATTATCGTAGTGAGAGCGAAATCCAGAAAGCATGGAAATGGTTGTGGTTGGTTACCTTTCCAACAGAGATGTGGCCTGTCAGATTATCACTGAATTTTGCGAAAGCTGTCTCACAAGCAGTCATAAATGTAGGTTGTTTTTTTATCTGTGCTGACCCAGACAAAAACTGCAGATGAACCATCAATGAACGTAAGAATTTAGGAGTAACGACGACTGCAACTATGTAAAGTTTGTGAAGTATCAAGAGAGCTCACGTGTATAACATACATTAACAGTAGTGATATTGATTATTATCACGAGGAAAATGAACATATAAAATACGATAGATTATATTATGATTCATCTTATCGTTCCATACCAATATATCGATCGAAATATCATAGATAATCTATGAACAGAGTGTTCGATATAATGTGTATGTTTATATTTTTCGATTTTATTCATACTCTATACGGTATGTAAAAAATTTATAGTAGGTTTGATAACCTTATTTTGATGGGTTTTATAATCATTTCAATCTTGTAAACGTAGATTGTGAGCAATCATTTTACAGAGATAAAATTGTCTAAAAACAAAATATCCAAATATCCATTTTTGAAGGTTTTCTAACTCTATAAAGTTGTGCAAAGTGTCAACCAATACAGCACCTAGGAGCTACCCAGGTGGCACATGACTATATAAACTTTTAGAGTAGTATCTATGTTTAGTTCACTGCTTTGTTCCATAGTAATATCATGTGAGTACTTGTGACGACTTATGATCGTGATGAATCACCTTATACCTTTTGTCTGCGATCGTTCAAAGCTTATGAAATCCAATGATTTAAAAGCGTTAGGCGCTCTGAAATATTAAAATATAATAATATAATATAATTAAAAATATAATTAATTAAATAAAAAAATATAATATTAAATTAAAAATATTGTTAATAGTATATTACTTAAGTTAGAGGGGGAGAAAAAAATTATTCTCTGAAATATTAAAATATAAAAAATATATAATATAATTTAAATATAATTATTTAAATTAAAAATATAATATTAAATTAAAAATATACTGTTAATAGTATATTACTTAAAGTTAGAAGGGGAGGGGAGAAAAAAAATGTTAACAGCAATAGAGGGAGATAGCAACAGTCGCAGAGGATTAGTTTAAGATAGTTGCGACAACGCTGCGAACAACAACGGTAGCGACAGAAATTGTGGACAATAATAGTGGCAAGGAGGGAAGCTACGGACAGAAGCAATGACAGTGACGAAACATGCGGGCAGCAATAGCGGCAATGGCAGAAGCTGCAAACAATCGCGACGACGATAGCGATGAAAGCTGCGGACAACAACAGCGATAGCGACAAAAGCTTCAGAGGGCGTTCGTCAGTGGCAAAGGACCTGCGATCCTCTCCCTCGATAGTGAAAGGAAGCGACAGCAGAAGGAAGCTACAAGGGTTGTTGTACTCATCCGTTGACAATAGAGGAAGGCTCGGTCCGCTGCATTTGCGACGAAGGTAGCGACAGAAAGTGTCAGCAGCGAAGGTAGAAGCAACGAGAGGGTTACTCGGGGTCACGCAGACCTAAAGCGTGGTTTTGAGGTAAGAAATTACGAACCGAACTAGCCTTAAACCGGTTCAGTTCGCATAATAGAATCATGCGCTTGCTTGAAGTGCCCAATGCGTGCGTTTGGGCAAGCGTAGGCGACGCCTCATTGAAGCGCGTCGCTTGGTGCACACACGAGGCGCTCGGGCCTTGCCTCGCCTTGCCCGAGCACTTAGGCAAACACCCAAGTGCCTATTTAAATCACTGACAAAATCTATGTTTGTAATTTGCATTACCTATCAAGTGTTAGTTGAAATGACTTTGTTTTATCCTGAGTTAAATACTTACTTCCTCAAACTTGTCTTTTACTTTATAGGTCTTTAAGGAACTATAAGAAGTTTCAGAAAGGTTGATCCTTTACAGATCGACATGCAAGGGTGTCGCACGACTTAGACAAAACAAACTAAGTCCATAACAAATTGTTGGCTTGATACATACCGAATCATACCAATGTATCAATATATGATACGATGAGATATACTGACAAACTGATATATATACCATCTATATAGATCCCCTATCGAATTGATATGTATTATCTGTATCGAATAATACATCGTGATACGATGAACCTTAGACCACCGTTAATGTGACAGGATGGTTGGTATTTGATAAGGTTTTTTCATGGGTCAAACAGTTTACACTCAAAATAAATCAACCTATGTACACGCCTCACCTGTGTTCCTATACTACTACGAGTACTGGTTAACAATGCCAGTCCTTGGGTGCTTAGACAATGAACTTACTAGAAATATGCACAAAAGATACTGAATACCAAGTCACTTACCAGTAACATTATTTATCAATGAGAATCAAGTAATAAACTCAAAATTATAAGACAGATTTTAGTTCAACAGTTTACATCATCCAAGACTAAAATCAAACACGTGAAAAATACACAATAATACCTGACGAAATGTTATTGACCCCTTCTTTTCCAAGTCCAGATAGCCAAATATCTGAGGAGGAGGAAATCTAACCTTTAGCTATGCATGAAAGGATCTTGGCACAAATATTTATAGAAAATCTTCATATTCTACAGATTGCAGGTTCCTCAACCAAAATATGGACCGAAATATTAGAACATCCGAGTATATATATTACATACAATTAGGAGTCACCAGTTTTCTGCTGTAAGTCCATACATATTATCAGTCTTAAGAAAAAATCGTTTTCTCATACACTTGCATTAATATGATGATACAAATCTCAATCCCCTAAAATGTCTATGCATATGTACATGCATGTCATATTCCTTTCCCATGAGAATGCATCACTTCCCGAAACAGAAGCTTTGAATTTGTGATTATAGCCCCATGATGATGCTTCAACAAATTTGATCTCAAACTAAATTAATAAGTTATAGATTTCCTTCAAAATACAACATGCATCATTCTTTCAAGTACTTAAATGAAGATGTGAAAGAAATCATAGAAAAACCTCCTTGACCTTGCAGAACCAGGGCACTTCATTATAATCTGCTTGTCACTGAATAAAGGACTTTAATGTACATTATGATTTTCTTAGTGGGAGAAAACAAACCAGAGCTGCTGTTGGCATCCTTTGCAAGATTTCAGGATGGAAACTTGATGATGGTAATAAGTGCTCTCATATCAGATTGACATGGGTTGATTCATATGAGTGTCAGTATGGTGCGATGACAAGGCATGATACAATAATGATATGCAAACGTTAAATCTAGTTACAGTTTGGCAACATGGCATGGTCACAATTCCTTAGTACCTATGGTTTGATAACAAATGTTCTGAGAAGTCTCTAGAAACCTAACAATATAGAGTACATATTTTTGCAATCGTACAAATGTGTATATAGTTGATATTATACATGTGAAGAGTTTGTAGTAACTTCAACACCATATCTGCATGTGATAAAGCATTAGTTTCCTGACCAATCATTTCAATGTTCATTAAGAATCTCGAGCTATGCTTTCTAGAAAAACAACTTCAATAAAGCATTGATACCTAACATCATTTATTACACAAGTTATACACAAACAAGAAGACATTCTAACAGTCAATAGAAAGGGTATCAACTGCTAAGGTTCCTCGTATACAGTATCAAGCACGAGATATAACAATATGTAGCAGGACTTATTTTAGACCCTAGCTGGATTCATAGTTACCTAACAATGATAAATTTTACTATAGGTTAGGATCAGTTAAGCACTACAAGGTCCACAAAAAAGATCAACTTTCTAGAGACTGATAGGAAAATCACGTTAAAAGTTTATTCTTTCATAAGATGGAAAAATAAGCATGAGATGTATGACCAACCTTTTCACATAGAGGACTCCACCCCAACCCATAAGCAGTCAAAAAACCATGAATTTGAACATGTCCACTGCCACCACCATATTACAAGATCACATAAAAATTGTCATCCTTAAACTCAAAAAGCATAGTTGGATCTAATAATAACAATCAAGAAAATTATGCAAGCTTTCAAAAACAAGTTAAAGCATCATGATTTCCTGCAGGGAATGCAAAACCAACCAGTTCGGTAAGGTTCAACCGATATTTACCAGTCCTACCGCCAAACAGATGTGGATTGCCCTTATTTTGGGCAGTCCAGTTCAGTTATATATATAACACTTCGTTGCCCAATTGCATCGCCACTGCTCATCGCCATATGACCCAGTACTTCATCTCCTCTTTCTCCGCAGGAGGTCAATCTCCTCTTTCTCCACCACCTCCTGCCCTTTGCACACACCTCCCCAAACCGCTACGCCCCCTCTTTCTCTTCCTCTCTCTCCTCACCCATTCCCAAATAGCCCCATGATATATACCAGTATATCAACACATGATATGTTGGTACAGGTCGAAGTAAACATATATAACACCAGTGACACTCGGGTCTACCAACACATGATACACCAATATGGCTCAGGCTTATACTTGTCCGAGCTAAGACTGATATGGGTCTGATACCTGAGATTGCAATCCTTAGTTATTGAATATATATGTCAACAATAATAATCAGATTTTAGACAATCTCATAGCAGTATGAATTTATCAATTTAAACTTAGCACATGGGTGTCCTTTGATCTATCAAGTCACAAATCCTTAAAGCCTCAGCCATATCCACTAATGTCCTAGCATGGAATTTTTGATTGGTTGTCATTACAAAAAAAATAACGAATGCAAGGTTCTGAGTTCCATGGCACAAGTGGTATGCAGGTAACATGCCAGCTCGGTACGCCAACACCTGGCATGGGCTCTAAGACAGGCCAACACTATATCACATGACCTTGGCATACCACAGAATTTGTTCCACTGCAGTTGTCCCATGATTTCATGGTATACATTATGTGACATGGGCCAGTATGTGTAATCCATGAAGGATTCTTATTCAAACATGCAATTTGAGATTTGTCTGAGACTTACTTGGAATCTGGGTTCATAGCAAGAAACTGATCCAAAAGTAACACTGCCTCAGATGAGCTTATGTTAAACGACTGCAAATGAAAATAGTAGTAGAATTAAGAAAAAGACCATAAAATAGACAATAAAAAAGCAAAACACTCTATTTTCAGATAAATTAGTGTATGGATCACTGCCTCTAAAAGCATAGTGAACACTACAATAGATTTTGAGTCAGCAAAAGCTAGTATGATGTCTGAAATATAAGATACAAGAAATAATGATGATGTCAACTAAAAATTGAAAAATAGTTGAATTTATTTTGTAACTGAAAAAATGCAGACATCCCAATGTCATTCACAAGTCCCTAAATTTAGTTATTTATCTGGCTAAATAAAATTTTCCACAAGTTTCAGAAATTTAAGATATTACGAAAATCATCTTCTTGGCATTACATGTGGTTGCATTGCTTTGTGTTCCTATAGCTGCAGGAAAGACTAAATAGGAAAAGAATTCATGCCATACTATGTAAAGAAAGATTATGAATTAGGTGATATTAGGTCATTTACTCGTTATTAGGTTTTGACAGTTAACAGAGTATGACCAACCTTTTCACATGAGATTTTAGGTGATATCGGTGCTCTCTCCCTCTCGAAGAGGTTTTAGGTGAAAATATTTCCAAAGGTGGTACCTAAAAACTTGACATAGGTAATTCTCTTGGTGAAAGTAATGACCCCATCCATTATTTTTTCTCAAAAAAATATTATAATAGTCACTGCAATTCTTGGTTTGCATGAAACATTATGATCAACTTCAGCTAGTCATCAATGTGTTAAAATTAGTCCCATATAGCTATATAGGATATCTCAAACAAGTCAATTTTTAGTCATTAGAAGCCATCAGCTCTGGGAGAAAGATGTTCCATGGAAAATCCATCATTATATTTCGCAACTTCAGTTTGTTTGGGCAGACAGGTTTCTGTTCACTATTACTTTTCTATAAATTATAAAAGACTTGATGGATGAAAAGTAGATATTTCATCATCAAAAGTTAAAGGGTCGTTGCACTGTCATGGAGAGACAAGACTCAATTTAGAGGTAAGTGACGCTGATCACCAATGTGGATTTAAATTTTATTAGGATCAGATTCAAAAGAATCATTATCTTTGTTTCTCCAATTTGGATAAAGTGAAAGAAAATCCAAAATCGAAAACTTCAAAAATTATTAATTATTACAAAGACAAGGAAGAAAAGAAAACAACTGATGGCTTCATATGTTGGTTGTTCTCCACTAAACTGCATCACGTAAAGTTCCAACTACAATGCCAACAAATGATGTAAAATGTAGATTATATATTGCAGATTGATAACTTACATTCTCAACCCATGCCATTTCTACCATATAATTTGAGCCTCTCTCCTATGAACAAAGATTGAAGCTATAAGAAAAAAATATGACATAAAAAGAGCCAATAAAAGGTTGCATACAAAGATATGGAATATTTATAAATCACATACACACACTTAAGCAACAACTAGAAAAATGATATACTCTATCAACTCCCACTTTTTCCTCAAGAGAACGCAACACATATTTTATGGGAATGATAGATATGGCTGTCATATATTGTGTATGCATCATGTACCACAAAAAATGCAAAATAGAAAGTTTGATGGTTTGGATTTGAAAGTTGAAAATATGTCAAACTAGCTAATGCAAGTGTATCAATATGTGCAGTAAAACGTATCTTATAGACTAACAAGAATGTTAATGCATAAGAAACAATGTGTTACTAAGGTAATAAGCACCGACACAAGTAAGCTTTAAAAATTACTTTCAAAAAAAATACTTGAGGAAATTAGGATACATAATAAAAAGCAAAGCATATGATCTGGTGCAACATCTGCCAGCCAAACACAGTCCAACTGTGTTCCAGTTGGGCTTGGGAAGAATGCAAATCAAACTTCAAATATGGCAAGTTTAGGTTAAGATCTTAAGAAAATTTCACACTTACCTAGTTCACATATGCCATATTTCCCATGTGTGTGCCACTATATAGGAAGCGAAGCACAAATTAAGCATGGGCATTCCATATCGAGTGTCTAGGCGTATTGCCGGTATATACCAAGTTTCAAAGAAAAAACTGGAAAAGAAAAACACCACTACAAGACCTGTACCATCTTGTGCCAAGCATACCAATGAGTTGTCGGACCGATAGAAACCATCTGTACCATATATCATGGTATTGCAAACCATGATATACACTATGAACAGGAGAAATAAACAAAAAAGGATGTCTGTTGCTCCATAAAATAAGCAGTTATCTTCACCTTTGTAAGTTCGGTTGCTCTTGCAGAAAGCATCATGTCACCAAAGGAATGAGATGTCTGTAGAACATTAAGTGCATTTGTCATAGCATAGCTAGTCTGCAAAAAAAATGGCCAAGAACAGCATGTTAACTTTAGTCTTTATCATGATAACTGCTACAATTCAAACGATAAATGTTTATAAGGTGCATGACATGTATATAGTATTGGTAATTGATTGGACTGGTCATAGTATGATCATGTCTGATTGGTATTTTAGTCCTTGCAGCTAATCTAAACCTATTAATCTCGTATTACGTTCCATGTGCTTTGACATGCCATCCAAATTTGATACCCCTGCTTGCAATACCATAGCAAAATCCTCATCCTTGTTTGACTATGTTGCTCCAAGTTTTGCCATTACAAACCAATCATAAGCTCGTTTAAACTTTCAATATTATATATCCTTTTTCACTCCAATATATCAGCAATCATGATAAGAAAAAAGATATTTTAGCACCAAAGGGGAAATATTATTCTAGACACGAACATCAATTAACGAAGCACATTACTAATTTGTTTAACTTCTGAACTGACAAACTGTAAATTCCATTTTGGAAAAAAATATAACATATAAGATGCAGCATGTCACCACAGATTCATTGAACATACTCACCCTCTCTGCAAAATGAACTGTGTTTTGTTGTTTGCTCTCATCTGGAAAGACTACAGGAAGGTATTCCACCTGTTAAGCAAAAAGTGGCACTCTTAATACAAAATTTTACCAATTAAGCAGATTCACTGACTATTAATATGAAATCATAAAATCCTCTTCTGTTTACGTGAAGACAGGATTTGGCTTAATACTACACTGCATGCATGCATTTATGTAAAAATTTATATGCAATAACAGAAGTAAACTACTTTTTTCTTGGAAACAACAATCAGTGAAGCTACTAGAACTTAAAGAGCAATACAGAATCAGATTCATGACCGTAGATGTTGCTAAGAAGTACAAACTAAAAATTAAGTTATTCACAAAAAAAACCAGGAAATCCATGTTAATAAATAATAAAAGCAAGGATTTTAAATCCTGATCAGATACTGGTTTCGACAACCTACCAGACTGTTGTAGTACCTATAAATCACGTGGTATAATGACTTGCACTGCCAGTATGATTATATAAAATAATAAAATAAATAAAATGTTGGTACACACTGGTACTGAAGCTATATGCACTGACTGTTACTAACCTTATTATTTAAGTATAGCTACTCATTCTAGAATCAGAAAATTGGTGCCATCAAAATCTTTACAATGAAATAATAAGCAAGAACAGTTCACTTGGGAAAAAATTCCAACATCATCAAAACTGTACCCAAACACAACCTATACGTCATAATACATAAAACATTTTTTTATCTATGACATTTTTTTCATACGAATCAGCAACATGCCAAGTTTTTCCATGAAGAACTGAACATTGGATCTGTACCAAGTAATAGTCTCAGCCCAGATAAGGTACCAATAATCTTCCAAACTGAATGTCATACTGTTACTTTTGAGTAGAGAGGCAAATTGTCATCATCACTAATATACTGATCCTGATTCTGGACAAGAACAAGATCAAATGGTGAAAAAAGTCTCGTTAACTACAAATGGTTGTGCATCGGCCACATCTAGAGAGTTGGTTTGTTATAATGATAAGTCTCTTCCCTGAACAATCCCATGATTCCCACCTCCTCCCAATATCCCCCAGATGACAGAGTATTTGCAAGCATCTCAATCTCCCTACTCAAATGTTTCACATCGCCATTAGGGCATTCCTATAAATACCGAGATAACCCTTGGGGTGCCCAAGGTTGCACATACTAGAGACAACAATTCAATCTGCAACAGGAGCATCATTTTAGCCCACATGAAAGATCTTGCACAGGTGCTTTGGTATGACATAATAGCTCAACTGACCAGATAGCCTATAATGTGTATAATATGGCCCAAAAGCCCAAACTGTTAGTATTAGACCACTAAGTCTATAAATAAAAATCCAACACTTCTGAAATTGTGGCCTAACACATGCCAAAATGGCACATCTTATGCACACCGAGATGATGTGCTCAAGTTTTCATGCAGAGATGCAAAGAAAGATCTCGACCATATGTGGTAAGGGGATCAAGCATTACAGGGCAGGATTATGATAAATCCCAAGCAGTCCTGTACCAGAAATAAAAACAACATGAACAATGTACAAGTTGTTACCAACTGAAAAAGTTTTAGGGAAGCTTTGGGAAAAAGTTTCAATTGAATTTAACCTTGGATCATAAAAACTATATTTAATTGAACTTTCATCATGGAAGTGACAAGCAAAGAGTTACTCACGTGACATCATAATATGGCTTACTGCACAAGGCACATAAGTCGTGGGACCAAGAACTGAAGGTAAAAAAGAGGTGGATCCACGACTCCTAAACCAGGATTGAAATCTGACTCAAATGACAGTTTTCTTGGCTCAACTAGCCTACTAGACCAAGAACAATTATGTATGAAGCCTTGTTCAGAGTTAATTTTTATCACAGACATTCTCATAAGATTTTTATATATCTCGTAAAATCTTAATTCTGATCTTGCCCTTCTTGTTATTGCTTCATTTTCATCCTAGACATAGCTACAATTCATGGACATGTCTTTTTTGGATTATTAAAAAAAACTAACACCACAACAAACTTACCTTACACAATGTAAAATCTTTTCTTGATGGAGTAGGAAGATTTACCAGATTTTCTAGTTCCGAAAGCAATGTGTAACATGTGACTAAGAAAGTTCTATTTACTTGAGCAATTATCACCATTAACAAATAATATTAAAGAAGAAATGAGAACTTTAGGAAGTGGGAAAACTGGGTTACAGAACCACCAGGGCAATCTGACTTTTGTCAAATGTGGAAATCATGACACGTATATGAGGGCAAAACATACCTCCATGAAGTTGTGAAACTGTGTGAACATTCTAAACATGAGCTTCAGCAAATTAATGTTTCCCCTAAAACAAGTAACATCATCAGATGTATCAGGACAAAGAACATTAATAAGAGAAATGTCTCATGTAAAATTCTCACCAAGATTGGTCAAAATGTATGTACGGGTATCGAACAACCACCGGTTGGATTGGGAAGCCTGGAATGAATGCACCAAGCCGAAATGAAATGAGGAATCTCCCATTTGTAGTGGTCCCCTCAGGAAATAGCATAATACGCGGAAAGTCATTGGAAGAAGCCTTTCTCTGAATTCATGTCCTAGAAAGCATATTTCTGTATCAAATAGATAAAATATAGATTTTGTTTTGTGTTCATTTATAAGGCAAGCTCTTAAGGTTCAGGTTTCTTTCCATCAACTAACTAAAATGAAAGATATACAGTCAATGGCACATCTTATGCCAAACCAAAACAAGAAAGGTGGCGTAAGTAAAGCCCAATAGAACTAATATCTTGATAAAAAGTATGATCGCAGAAGAAAAAAACTTGAGGAAAGAAATGGTAGCATCAATCATAAGTTCCAAAGACTTATACCTTTATTTCATGAATTGCGAGCTTTCTCGACTGTTGTGAGAACCTATCAACATATATAACCTATGAAACATAGATGAAACATGTTAACATCAAAAGTTCCAATTGAAGTGCATTCTCCCTTAATATAAAAAATAATAAAAATCAGATAAATAAAGCAACATAATAAGAAAGACTTCTGGCCAAAAAAGATGAGCATCCACCTGCATTGCTCTAACAATGGTTCCAACGAAGGGTAATGCATCATGTGACTCTGAAGCAACCATAGTTGGAAATAGTTCATAGAAAAAGAATATTGGCTCAATGTATGAGACATGATTACAAACAACTATAGGTGCAATGTCCCTTGAAGCAGGCCTTCCTTTTCTTTTAATCCAATGATATCTGATGGAAGAGCAACCATACAAACAGGTATTTGTAAGTATAAAAACAATCATTTATATGCATACAGTCAGTATATAACATTAGGTTAGATCTTTTCTCGTGCTTTTAAGAATTGATTCAAAAGCAGGACAACCCCCACACAAACATTTCTTTGCAAAAAAAGCCAAAGCCTTATAAAGAAATACACAAGTACAAAACTGACGAGAAACGAATAAAGAAAAGATGCACAACCACTAATCTAACAGAAGATACATCAGATATGGATTATAGTTATCAGGAGTCTGAACATTCCTCTAGGAAGGGCTAAGCAACCAAATGCATCCAATTTATTCATGATCATTATCCTAAGTGCTTGAAATCAAATTGCAGCAGAGTTGTTTGCATTCAGTGAGGTTAAAAACTTATATCTGCATCTGGGAATATTAATGTTAGAGGTTCAACTGCAAGCAATGCAGAACTTAACAGAGTTTAACACAGCCTTAAGCAAGCCTTGGGCATGTCTTCAATTGTTACTCAATTAAGCTTGAGTTGACAGTTCATCAACTTAAGATGGTTGGATTTGTGTATCTATACTGGGTGAGCCAACTTATCAAACTCTGCCTCGTTTGTGTACTTTGTAAACGTAACTTGATGCCTTGATAGACAATCTTGCACCCACTTTCCTTGAGCTCCTCTTTTTCTCTCTTGGACATGCAACACACATAGCGTTGTCATCAATACTCCTATGGCACCTGCCACTACTAAAAAATGATGACTCCTTACCCTCTTGTCCAAAGCCTCTTCCTCTTTCCCTTTGATTTTGTTCCTCTTCTCTGTATAGTGAGTGCCCTTCCCAACTATAAGGCAATGGTTTTAATTTGTCAAGAAACTTCATTATACTCAACCTGGCCAAATATACTCAACTTGATCCCAGCTTTAATTGTTGTACTTAGCTAAGTTTGGGTTAATGTTATAAGAATTTGCCAGTATATCGATCAGATCCAGCTTCATAATGGACGCATTTGCTCAGGTTCTTGGATCAACCATAATTCAACCCCAATTTACCTATTTGCACCCCAAAATCGTATAACTTAGCATTTTTTTAACACACACACACACACAAATATATACATATCCAAAATCGTATAACTTAGCATTTTTTTAACACACACACACACAAATATATATAAGAGTTGCTCGAATTCCCACAAAAGGAAACACATATGACATACTTCTACCTCTTCCTCAAAGAGTAATCAAGTTTTATTTGTGAACACCTAAAAAACTGAACAGATGATAAAATAAAACTAAAATGACATGCAAAGCATCATCCATCCATTACTACAACCATACTCTTATTTCCTACCACAATAGTAGACAGAATACATCGGTTTTAAAAGATAAAAGAACCTAGTATTCACCACTCAAATCTTAATTGCATTTCCTACCACAATACGAGAAGCAGTATTTAAGCTTTAAAGATTAAAGTGATCAGAAACAAAAAAGAACAAACGAAGCCTGATCATATGCTGCTAAAGTCTTGTTATTATTACTTTTGGTAGTTTCACGTTGACCTTGGTTTGTAAGCTGTTGTTCCACCTTTAGAACAAAGATGTTTCTTCAGAAAGGTATACCCATAATATATTTCAACAAATAGTTATGATCCAAAAGATACACTTTGCATGACCAGTTTGTCATTCATAGAGGAAACATAAAAGGATGCATGGAGAAGCTACAAGACTCGGAAAAGTATGATTAGAGAAAGACTGAGGAATTAAACCATCACAACAGACATCCTAGTTAGCAAGCTGACATTAAAGCAAATAGGATATATTGATACGACCCAAGCTGACATTAAACCAGCAACCAATCACTTAGGCCTTTTTTTGCAGAATAGTTACAGAAAATTGATATGCCAAAGGTAACTCAATGAATTTACAAATAATGGACATTTTGTTAGCATTGTTCGCATCCGAAATGATGTGATTCAAAATAGTTCTATCTTTTATGAATAAAAAATTCAGGAGAATATAGCAAAAAAGGAAACAGGACAAGCTTGTGCCCATGAGCTAAAAATTGCTTTAAATCAATCACAACCAGAAGACCCAACCAAGGCTTGCAACTATACTAAACCCTTGTCTTTGTCAGAAATGTATGCGTTTTTATGGTAAATATTTTGTCGAACTAAACCTGCATCATATTTGTTAAAACAATTTCCTTTTCTGATAGTTTTTCTTTTTGGTAAGTCCGTTTTTACACCTTTAGCATCAAGAACCAAAAATCATATTGGTTACCATATGCATCCAAAATCAAGAACCAAGATACCATATGCACTCGACTATTACCATCAAGAACCATGAACCAAAAAACCCTATTGTACTCGGACTACACAAACGATACTTTCTCCAGATCTCAACCAAAATATCCTAATGCACTCGACCATTAGCATCAAGAACGAAGAACCAAGAAACCCTATGGTACTTGACTACACAAATGATACTTTCTCGAAATCTCAACCAAGAAACTCTGATGGACTCGACTATTAGCATCAAGAACCAAGAGACCCTACTGTACTCGACTACTTAAGTGCTACATCCCCAGATCTTATCTAGCTCGTGTATGCAACCAAACCCAAACCCGCCCGTACCATCCTCGCAGATAAAAAGACCACGATTTTCCTAACACGCGTCTACTCAGATTAGAATTGTAAAGAAAAGAAAACACAAATCTATCAAGATTACCCGAAGGAGAAGAGGATGAAACGGGCGCAGAGCCTGGTGACACACATGACGCGGGACCGCCACCGCGACATTGGTCTTTCCTTATCCTTCCACCCGTAGAGCGCCACCACCGTCGTCACGTAGCCCACAGCGATCGCGATCCCTAAGAGCACGAGCCGGGCGGCGGCGATCGGCAGGCAGAAGAACGTCTTGCACCATTCGTAAAGCCCGGCGATGTGGGGTGTGTGGTTGCGGAATGGGTCCACCGGGCTCATCTGGGGCAGGACAAGAGGCGTCGCGCCCAAGAACTCGAAAGGGTTCTCCGGCGGCGGCCCCGCCGCCTCGCTTCCTCGATCGAGGAAGCGATTGAGGTCGAGGGCCACCTCGGGAGGGCCGACGTCAAGCAGGGGCGCAGTGATGTCGCCGTTGGCATGCACCATGGGAGGAAGAGAGGAAGGATCTCGAGGAGGAGAGGAAGATGGCCGATGTGCGGTAGAGGCGGTGCGGTGAGGGAAGGACGCGATGTCGACGAGCACCAAAATATACGTTGTTTGCCCTGGGGCCCACGGCGACTGCGTATCGTAGACCCGTGTTCCCTGCATCGTCCGAGACAGGCGAGCTGCGGTCTGGGATGCGGACATCGGATCGGACGCGTAGTTTGATGTTCCCTTTGTCGGACAAAACATAAAAACAGCGGTTTCCACCCAATCCCTAAGACGCCAGGGACGGGAGCATGCAGGAAAATCCTGTATCCTGCTTCTGGAAAGCAGAGGATCCTTCGACGTACCGCGTCCGTTATTTTGAATGCCCACGTACTTGACGGTCAGATCTGAGCCGCTACGTTATATGTTTAAAATATGAGGCGGTCAAAGTTGGGATAACATTAGTACTTTTCGCACCCGTCAAGTCTCAACTGAACACGTATCCGTATGACGATTGATTGTTTAAAAGGGACCCTCAGGGTCCCACTGTTTATACTCTGCCTGTGATTTTAGGGCCGAAGGGTGACATAGCTAGTCTATTTTTAAAAAAAATTTAAATAATATATTTTTATAAAAAAAAATCAGCCTATCTATTCATCGATTGTCTCCTTTATTTCCGGTTAGCCCAACTAGTCATCACCTCATTTGTCCTCGTCAAAAATCCAATAACCTACGACAATAATACTCGTTCAAAATTAATAAAAAAATAATCTCATCCAGAGAAGGATAACTAACGTTGTCCTCATCAAAACCCAGTAGCCTACGACAATAATCTCTCATATCTATTGAGGTGAGGTTTGGGAACCAAACTTAGGAGTGATGAGGGTGTTTTGGTCAATATAGCAATTCAAGGGACTTAAATGGGACAGACGAGGGATGCGGAATGAGAATTTGGCGACTGTAAAAGGTCTTTAGCAAAAAAATATGTTATATATATATATATATATATATATATATATATATATATATATATATATATAATTGGGTTTTTATATGTGACGTGTCCACGGAGAATGCGACCGAGCGTTGATTTATGTGCTCGGTGGCAAATTTATGATTTGAATTCCATGTTGTTGAATGTGATGCTACGTAGATGCAAGAGTCGGTGCAGCAACTTTAACGTAAAAGATCAAACAAGGTTATTATAAATATTATCCTTCACATTTGAAAATATTCACACCTGGAATAGGTGTTTGGGTCCACCAATACAAGATGGAGAACGTATTAAGTCAGGCATTATTATTAGATTATTTGATGTGAGACTAAATAGGGAATTTTCTATCCCAATCATAGTCGCATAGAACGGAAATTGGTATTTTGGTCAACAATTGTAGCCAAAGTCGCTTCATGATTTGAGACGCTACTTATTCCATCGGAACAGTTGACTCAGCCCATTGTAGTAAGTTGGGAACGTTTCCAATGTACCGAATTTTCATTTGATATATATATATATATATATATATATATATATATATATATATATATATCGATTAAAATAAAATGTCCAAGGCTTGCAACCAAGCCTATTGTAGTAATTCATGTCTCACGACCATGCCAAATCCGATAAGTAAAAAATGAAAGTGATCGAATCGATTGATTGATTGATTGATTGAAGAATTCTATAGTCATCATCTCCCATACACAAATGAGGTGAACAAACTCTAAGTCGAAGTGGTCGAATCGATGGATGATCCATCCACAAATAATTATTGACCTAAAGTCGAAAGTGGTTGATTTGGAGGCAAAGTTGGCTGAGATGCAATAGCAAATCGAGGCGCTATCAAAGAGCAATGCTAGTAAAACTATTCAAGGTCAAAACCGAATGATGGATGTTGAGCTACTAAAGTACCATTATGAAATAAAAAAATATGAAGAAGAAGTTCCATAGATTCAGATTATAGAACTAAAGGTCTAGTAGGAGGTCGAGGTGATGTTGGCCCTGAATAGAGCAAAGCAATAAATACCATCATCACATATAAGGAATCGATCAAGTTCAAAAAGGGGCTCTTGAGGTAAGGGATGCCTCGTTTAAACAAGTACCTCCTTGCATTAGCTCACTTCATGGTAAGATATCTCAATGTGATAGTTGAGAAAAACCTATATATTGACTATCTTGAAAATACAATCATATTGATGTAGCTAATGGTGCGCTTCGACGATAATCCTAACTCCTCCATCAGTACCTCTATCTCAATCGTAATCATGTCACCACCAACTATTGTTGCTTTGTCCTCTACCTCTTCAACTTTTAGGCATTTTATTTATACTTTTCTTTTTTTATAGATTGTCTTAGAGTAGGGCTCTGAATTGAACGTCACATGTATATTAACAATGTCAATGGGGTAGATTGAATCACCAATGAACCCTAGCAAAGAAGAAGACACCGAGGTCTAGTCATTAGTAACCGATTCTAACATATGGAAGGCATCATAATACTCTTGACTAATGCATTAATCATTCTAATGGAGACTATAAGGGCGTTATAATGATATGATTGAGGTTAAGGTATTCCGTCTTCTCTTCCTTCAAAGTTATCTTTAGATCTCCCTCCAACCCCAAGCACTTCTCAATAGTAACTCGAGCTTATACTTTGCTAACCAATGAGTTACCTCTTTTGGAGGTTGAACCATCGATTATATCATAAATATGCTTCTCTACTAATCCCCAGAGTCATATGACTCTCGTCACTTGTGCACAAAGCGCCTAAGGTGCCCTTGGCAAATGAGTTCTTCTATCTACTCATCTAAATCAAAATAATGTTTGATATCATGGCTATGATCCTAATGGAATATATAATACTTTGCTTAGTCACATCTCATCAATGAGGATGTCTTAGGATATGGGTCCCACGGTAACCCTTCTCTTTGATATGGAAAATAACTTTTATCTAAAACATGTTGAAGGGAGTTAAATTTATGCATGATCTGGATGGGCCTGCTTGGTTCAACCCTCTTCGCTAAGGCAATCTTGAGGTCAGGGCTAGTCACTCATACTTCAGATGTTTGCATGATTCCTCACGCTTATAGAGACTAATGTCTTAGCTACGATGTACTAATTAATGCACTGGAGCAACCTGGATAGAGAGATCGATTACTTAGGACCATAAGAACTAATAGGGTTTTGGCCTAAATATGAATGCTTGAATGTGGCCTGAAGGGTTTCTGTTAGTGATTCCTCAAGTCTTATTTATTAATCTAGTGATAAAGTCTACCGATAATTCTTCCTTAACTAGTCAGATTGTATATAAGGTCGTAGTTATATGCTTGAGGCACACGTTCTTAATAAAGTATTATTTGAACTCCTTAAGGAGCTCATCCAATAGAATATCACTCACGAGCTATACCTTGTTATGTTATAAAGAAAACACAACAACTCATCTTGTCATAGAGAAACCATAATAACTCATTACGTCATAGAGAAAGCATTACACATCAAGGCATCTGTCATATGGGTGCAGAAAACCACTATATATTTTGTGGGGTTCGCACCTCCGTCGAATGCCTCCAAGATAAGCAATCAAAATATTTTAGGACTCAGCTTTTTTTTTTTAATCTTTTGGACAATAGGAGATTCAGCTAAGGTGGTGTTTGTCGATTCCTCTTTTTCTAGATGGAGCATGCATACCCTTTAGATGTCAGTCAATTTATTGGTTTGTGTCATATAGTTTAATAAATAGAGTCCGCTGATTAGATCTCCGATTTGAATGTCATTGGATGAGGGTAATGGAGCCCATTGACCTTAGTAGTGGGAGGTCAAGGAGGTCATTGCTCAAAAAAACTTTCAAGGGGATCATCATATTAGTAGATGTTCCATACGGGAAAAACAAACCAAGATCATTGAATAGCTACTAATACTAAAGAGAAGTTTGCATCGAAGAGGAAATACTAATGGCCAAAAACATAAGTAGTTGGGTAACAAAGGTGAAGACACTATAAGAATGAGGTGGAATATTTTTATTAGAGCACTCGTTGAGAGAGTCTACTTGACATACTGCATCCTCCTTCTAGAGTCAAAATATTAGGATGAACGTCGATAGTAGTTGGATCAACTCAACTCACTTCGAATCCATGTGTGTAAAGACTCTTTAGGATATAACCTAGGCTTTAGATGCTTGAATTGATGTTAACTTATAAGAAGACTTAGGTCCAATGAGGTTCTCAACATGATCCTTTCGATGTCCAAATAAGTAATAGAATGAGATATAAGATAAGATGAGGATGAACAATGTCTAACATCGATTATTATAGTTTGATTGATTTTTTATAACCAATCAAACTAAAAAAAATATTTTATAATATGAAAAAATATTGGATGAATACTCACTTAATTGTTAACTAAGAACTTCAGTCTCTTTGTTCATTTAAATATTATTCAAATTAGATATTAAAGATGATTTTAAAAAATATTTTATTTTCAAGCATGACAATAATAAAGAGATAGATCACGCCGAATCAACTACATCAAGTGAGAGGTTGTGTGCACAATAAATTGGTGTTAGGAAAATTAAAAGAAATATATCATGACAAAACTAAGTTCAACGTACCCCAAGAGCAGGATTGCTCCGAAACTCCCTACCTAGCTAGCTTTCAGCACTCTTTGACCGCCACCGCCAGGTCTCCCCCAACCCACCAAAATTCGAGGCAGAATCATCGGTCAAGGTGTCTCAAAGACATGGTCGATTAAAGCTTTCTACACGCGTTAAGATTATGTATTTACAGATTACTATTCATAAGCCTTCCCTACAGCATGCTCTGCAACTGTCTGTAGTACAGTTCATGCAAATAATCTTCAATCCAAAGAACTAGGATATCAGTTTCTGCAATCTGTGTTGTATGATTAGACTGCATCGTGCCTTCCTACTGCTGCAGTTGGCCAGCGGATTCCTGGTACTCTTCTTCGAGATCGTGTGGCCAGGGGATCAAACTCTGTGGAGGAAAGCAGCAGTCGCATTCCACCTGGCATTGCCGCGGCCGGTCCATCGGCGATCCCGAGGAGGAGGAGGACGACGCGTCCCCGGCCTTGCCACGCCCCCTCGAGGTCGCATCCCGGAGCGGCCCCCAACACTCGACCCGGTTGAACTCGGGGAGGCTCGAGTGGAAGTAGACCCACACCATCGCCTCCTCCAGCTCCGGGTAACTGTTGAACAGCGTCTCGTCGCCATGAACAAACGCCTTCAGTACCTTCATCGCATCATCCAACGCACAGTGTCCATCACTCGATGTGCAAAAGGACTCATAATGATGAAATCATGAGCGAGCGAGTTGGTGACTGCACGAGTATATATATGTGTATCTATACCACTGGGAGTTCCTTGCAGAAGATGTAGTATCGGAGGTTGGCGATAAGGTCGAGGAGGAAGTGGCCGCCGCTAATGTGGCAGTGGACGTGAAGGGACATCTTTCCCTGGACCTTCTTCCACTCGGCCACCACCTCGTCCCGCTGCAGCCGGTTGTACCATCCCTGTAGCTGTCGAAAAACAGGGGAGACGAAGAAGCTCTGTAGCAACTGTCGACGACGAGATATGTGCAAGCTGAGATGTGCCTATGACAGGTCGATTGATACCTGAGCACGATTGATGGTGTTGGAGACGGCAAGAGTGATCTTGGAGGTGACATCGCTGTGGGTGAGGGTGTAGGTCCTGGGTAGCTTCCCCGGGTGCTTCTCCTCGTCCACCCCCAAGAACAGTACCTTCAGCTTGGAAGCCTCGAATATTGCCGGCCCAAATAGTCTCGCAACCTAATCACGATTACCAGCACATGAGATCTCAATATGTTGTCTTCTGCATAAGATACAGAGACATGCTCTACGTGAAATCATGCTTTGCGTTCGTTGCTTCTCTGTTGTGGTATTGGTCATGATAGTATTTATTTGCAATTGGCAGGTTGATGATACAATATATTTTTATATTTATAATTGTGAAGAAGTTCATGAAGTATTCAGAATTGCAGATATGTATACCGAAATAGACAAATCCATTAATACAACATCATTTGGTTGTTAAGCTCAGGAGGCAAAAAGAAAACAACAGAAGAAAAGATCGATCGGAAACTGTTATCAGACACCAAAAAGGATATAATCCATACATGTTCTCTTCTTTGCCTCCTTACCGTAGATGTTCATGATCTCAGAACAGTAGACAACAGAAGTGATATCACGATATGTAGAAAGCATACCGGAGCTATGGATCGCCTTCGTCTTTCTCTCGGCTTGCCGAAGACTAACAAGGGACCCCTTCTAAGATCCGGACAACAGCTGTGCTGCTTTAGTTGAGCAGGCAGCAGAAACAGACCGGCAGCGAGAGCCATGACAACCCAAGAGTAGACAGGTAACAGAGCAAAAGGAAGAAGAAGAAGGAGAAGAAGAAGAAGAAGAAGAAGGCTGAGAACAAGCACAGGGATAAGGTAGAAACAGTAGGTAGCCTCCTCCAACCTCTGTGGAAGATTTGGGAAACTCGAGGACACTTGGAACCAAGTGGCCACGGAGTCACGCCTCCTTATTGCGTTCTGTTTCGTTCAGACTTGTTCGGGATATAGTCGGGCCGCAAATCACCTAATATGAGTTCCCTTTCTCGCGCGCTCTTTCTCTCTCTCTCTCTCGCTGTCGAGGTTGCCTACGCCGAGAAGTCAGCGGCTTCTTCCGCATTCTGGCGGTGGGAGTGTGTGGTTTGTAAGCAAGCAGAAAGAGGAGGCGTGTGGGAATTCCAATCGTTTACAGGGAAAGGATTCCCATGTTTTCTACTCACTGTTTTGTTTGCTTCTTGGGGTCCAAAGAAGACGAAGCGTGGCCACCAATCCGCCGTGACACGTATGTTGTCAGTCACGGAACAACAAGGCCAATTGATTTGATAAAATCATCACACGAGATGATTCAGGTAGCAGCAAGAAAGAGCAGTCTTAATTATACGGTTGGAAATAATGGAGTTTTTCTTTACGAGTTAGATTGCGTTAAATTGAGGAAAAATAATAGATAAAGGGGTTTGTTTATCTGAGAGTTTTAATATAACTAAAATTGAAGGATAATAAAGCATAAACGATGCATTTTAGGGTGATTTTCTCGGATAATGTTCTTATTTTTGAAATATCGAAAAAAATCTTTAATTTTTAAAATAGTAAATATATCCTTCCTAACAATTTAATTTTTGAGTTTCCTACGGAGACCAACTAAACCAAACTATTCAAACTAATTCGATGTTAAATTAAATCAGTTACAGTAGTATCTTTGGTTCAACCAATAAAATCTTTGGTTATAGTGTTTTTGAATTATATTATAATTATTTAGTTATCTTATCTAAAAATACTGTAAATTAATCTTATTTAATTTAAATTATCATAAATATTAATTATTAATCTTGTTAGATGTGTTCAGTTTCATAAAATATTTTATTGAAGAGTGCTTAGATGATTTTCAATGAAAATTAAAGAGATTTTCAATAAAGGGAAAGGGAAAGGGCGAAGGGCACGAGAAAAACACCATGAATGGTAACGCTGTTTATAAAATACTTAAAATATAAATATTTGTTTTTATAAAAAAAAATCGTCGAATAATTTATATTTGAAAATAAATCATCCTTGTAAAAAATAATTATTTAGAAAATTAAAGAGAGATTTTTTTTTTTAATCTCCACCGACCTCGTCCATTCTCTTCATCTCTGCTTCTCCTTTTCAGGCGTCACCGCCGCCCTCCTCTCCGCCTTCCCCTCTCGCCCCTGGTCTCGTCTTCTTCGCGGCCGCGGCTGCCGATTTTTCCGTCGTCTACCTTTTCAACCCCCACTACCTCCTCCCGCCCCTCTCACCCGCCGTTACCACGGCCAGATCCACGCGGTAGCGATGAAGCGTGCTGCCTCGCCCACGCCTCCCATCGCTTTCTCTTCGCCGGAGTCCCTCTTGGACTGGATCCGCCCCCGACTTCCCGCCGACGCCATTGCCTCCTGGGGCGCCACCCCTGGGACCAAATCCCTCCGTAATCTCTGGCTCGAGATCTGCAAAGGCGAGGCCTCGCTCCTCCTCCTCCCCCACTCCCAGACTGAGACGAAAGGCGAGGAAGACGACGCCTCTACCCTCCTCCGCGTTGTCAACGTGGCTACCCTCAGAATTCGTAACCCTCGCGGCGCCGTCCTTGTTGAATCTCACCAGCTTCTCTCCGATGGCGCGGTGCGTTACCGTCACCGTATCCTTTCCGAGAAGATGATGCCCGGGGAGCCCGTGGAGGAGGCTGTCGCCCGTGCAGTCCGTGAGGAACTAGGCAAGGACGCGGTGAGAATTTTGCCGGGGTCGTATCAGATGAGGGTAGAGGAGAAGGCTTCTGTCTCCTATCCGGGCCTCCCGGCACGATACGTGGTCCATTCTGTTGATGCGGAGGTCGATGGACTGCCGGAGGAAGGGGAATTCTCGACGGAAGAGAAGGGGGAAGAGTTTGAAGCAACGGAGAAGGCGATCTTTGTCAGGAGACATTTCTGGAAATGGGTTGCTGACGACGGCAACATTCAGTAAGCTTTGGGGATGATTTCAGTGCATAAAGGTGCGTCTTTGAATGGATTTACAGACGTAATGATCTGTTATCAACTAAATTTTACAGTTTAAGAACATATTTGTGCTTGGTGAAGACAAGTGTTATGTAAAATATCTCAATTATCACAATATTCTATAGTTATATCTATGGTACGACGGGTTGGAACATTATATCCATAATGCGAATGGACTCAGTTATTTGATTATTTCTCGATGTTGCACATCAACTTGTTGTAAGAAGATTATGAAACATTTTTAATGTGTATTTACAGGGAGAAGATTGAGCGAATATATACATACAGAACCGACGGATAAATTTTGTAATTTATCATTCTAATATTTTTAATATTTATTTAAAGATAAATATTTATTTATTTATTTTTAAATTAATAAGTAAATAAATAAATAAATAAAATCTTAAAAAATTATATGTTATATAAAATAAATACAATTTTATTTTATAGAATACAAAAATCGTATTGACTTCTTACTAAATCATGTCATTACATTAAGTACATTTCTCATTAAACTGATGATCATATAAATTAGCCATGTTATAAGATTTATATTGTTATTAGAGTTTGTACCGCATTATTCAAGTCATTATAATCATCAATTACAATACCATATCATAATTTGGACAATGAATTTATTTACTTCCTAATCTTGAATGTTCTAGTAAAGAGCATAATCTCAATAATTAATGTATGTTCCTGCTTATGAAACCCTAATAAGAAATAACATATTTATTTATTTTTATTTAAAAATAAAAAAAAATTGATGAATTTTTTTAGGGTTTATGAATTTGCATGTCATGAAATGGTCCGATGGGGTAATTAATGCATTAAATTGTAGCCTTATGAACCAAGGCAATTCCACAACATACTTAATGTGAGACTAAACTGAGTTGTCATTATCTTCTTAAGGTTTAATCATCTCGGCAAAATTCAAATATATTCTGGATTACACATGCACCATGCATCATGCATCATGCTGGTGTAATATCATCATTCTGGATTTCCCGTACCTACTTTGATATGCATGGATTATGTGGAATCAGATTCGAGCAGTTCTTTTTGTTCGTCATAGATTGGGTTGGAACCCACTAAATTTTGTTGTGAGAATATTTTGTGCAGTAAAGGTAAAAATCAGCCAAACCATTTAGCGCAAAATCTTTTTCTCGATTGTCTGTCTCTCCTCACTATGAATGCCACAAAGAAAAACTCTGATGAAGTTACATTTAGGTTAAGCGTCGAACATTGAAATTAGTGTCTAAGGTAGAAGATTCTGCACCACTCCCCTCATCATGGGAAAGGAGACTCCTTTGGGTGAATAGGGAGAGTGTCACCGATCACCAATCAACCATATATTATTCCATCGAATGGAATGTTTCTGTAGAAGCCTCCACTTAGCGCAAAGGACGGACGACGCAGCAAAGTTTTCTCATTATGGCCCTCATGCAAAGAACATTACCCGCTTAATGGCGTAGGAATCAGTGGGGAAAAGCTAAAAGCATCGGGTTCTTCGTCGATGGCTTCCTTTGCAAGGAAGGAAGCGTCGTTGAACCACTTTAGCTACAAGGCTTTCGTCCACAGCAATTATTTGGTGGTGCTCTCTCTCTCTCTATCACTGCACTGTAGTTTGGATGGTAGCAGAAGTAGACCATATATATGAGCTTTTTCCCTAATGAAACCAAGTTTGCTTTAACTACTGATACACTTAGCACACAGTACACGACAGTCCAGACACTGCTGCTTCTTACATAAGAAGAAAGAGAAAGGTAAAGAGAGACGGTCTCTGGTACACAAGAGCTTGAGCATGCGAGAGGAGCCATTGGACTCAGGTATCGACCTTGCACTCCGGTTCACCGAGCAGCGGCACCGGCCCGGTAACACCCTTCCTGAATCCGGTGAGCATGTCGCATCGCACGTACAGCCCATACCAGTTGCTGCGGAAGGGGCCCGACTTGTACCTCAGCCGCCCCAGCAGCACCAGCCTTAGCCCCACCACACCGTAGGCCTGGTCGGTGGCCAGCCCTGCCGCGACGTCCCCCGATATGGGCACGAACCCGCCGCCGAGCACCGGCGAGATGGCCACGGTGCTGTCCTTCTCCTGGAACATGGGCGGTAGCGCGGCGGGTGGCGTGATGGGCTGGTTGCGGTAGGACACGTAAGCGGAGAGGCGGTCGTAGAAGACGGAGGCGCGGTCGTTGGGGTTGCGGATGACCAGGGTGAACTGCATGCTGGTGGAGATGGCGTTGGCCTGCGACGAGGCGTTGGAGATGTCGTAGATCGCGGCTGCGCTGACAGTGAAGCGGGGCTTGGAGGGGCGGTAGACGAGGTAGAGAACAAGGGCGGTGATGCCAGCTAGAAGAAGGAAGAGGAGGAGGGAGGTGACGAGGAGGCGCCCGGGGGAGGCGCGGCGGCCCTTTTTGTCGTCGGACATCTTTGACTCTATGCGCTTATCTTGCTCGGCAGGATGGAAGTGGTGGAGTGAGGGAGTGAGAAGTGGCCGGAAGGTTTTAAGAGAGGATGGAGAAGGGGTCGAAGGAAAAGGATGCTAGTGGCTCGTGACGTGTAAAATTCTCACCTTTTTAAATGGAGGTTATTTATAATTTGTCCTCTCTTTCTTAATTACAAAGAAACCATTAGGACTGAGACAGTGATTACCAGCATGGTGTTTCTGCTATTCTGTATGAAATGGAAGGTTCTTAATTGACTTCGATACGCTCTGATGCATGAGAAAGCAAGAAAAAATCTGCTCCTTAGAATAGGACTGACATGTGACTAGATTCTTGCTCCTTTTGAAGAGATTCACCACTGCGAACTATGTGCAAAGTAGTAATCTTATCCCTGTATACCAGGGAGCTGTTAATTACCAATGTATTGTTCTTCAGCACGAGGAGTCACTTGCAATGCTATTATCGAGACTTCGAACACACGCACTGATCCTGTTGTTTACTATCATAAAGACGGGTGGAGATCTAGCAGTAGTGATCAGCGCTTGCAAGTCGAGGCGTGGGAATGGCAACCAGCGGGCGAGCCTTCTTCATCACGATCCCAAACTTCTCCTCCAGCTCCAATGTCGTGCCCTTCGGCAGCTCCCAGTCGAACGAGTGCAGCAGCGACGCCACCATGTACATGACCGTCCTCTCCGCCATCGCAATCCCGGCGCAGATCCTCCTCCCGGACCCGAAGGGGAAGTAGCTGAAATCTTTCCCGCTGAAGTCCCACCTGTCGGCGTCCGCGAACCTCTCCGGCCTGAACTCCAAGGGGTCTTTCCAGATGGCGGGGTCTCTTTGGATCGCCCACACGTTGACGAAGACCCTGCTGCCCTCGGGGACGGTGTAGGCGCCGACGACGCGCGTCGAGCTGGGGCAGTGCGGGACGAGGAGGGGGAGGGCCGGGTGCAGGCGGAGCACCTCCTTGATCACCAGCCCGAGGTAGGGGAGCTTGGGGACGTGAGACTCTTCCACAATGCCGTCCTTCCCCACCACATGGTCAAGCTCCTCCTTGGCTCTTTTCATGACGTCCGGCTTCTGCATCATCTCAGCCAAGGTCCACTCCATCGTGTTAGATGTGGTCTCTGTCCCACCCACCACCATGTCCTGCCCACAAGCGTTCATGGCAGGCTTGAATTATTTGGGAAACTTCTAATAATGCAGAGGAATGTAATAATGTTCCTAATTGCACAGCTTCATCATCTTGGGCTAACACTTGCATTAATAGTCATAATAGTAAGTGCAGCATTTAACACTAATGCCAAAGAAGCGTCTGATGTTGGAATATTATGCGATGATGCTG